TTCTCAAGTTTTTTCTATTGTATTATTTAGAGTTTTTGTAATGTTGCAATAACAAAACATAATCAAGCACAGTACTCTAACCTAGTATATTAAAATGTGATTGCTTCTATTATAAAGTTCTGATTTTAATTTTAAATTGTTTATGTATAGTGATTTTACAATTGCTTGGACATACAGCAGGGAATTTAGGCCATACCAAACTATAAAGTCAAAAACGTAGTGAAGTGAGGGAGGGGCCTCCCTTCCTGACAGGTTGAAAAACATTCTGTTTGGTTTAAAGCTTTCACATCAGGGATGAGAATCCATCCTGATGGTGAGCGGGTGTAGAGACTAAACACATCTGATGTAAGGGGGGCACTTAACAACATCAGTCTGTATAAAGCTGCAGAGCCTTATTATATTTCAGATTGCATGTTGAAAGACTGCGTTATGTTAGCTGGTGTTTCTACAGACATCTTCAATGACCCACTCCAGCAGACTGTTGAATTAACACTGTTTAAACCTCCACCTTCATCCCAGGAGTCGAGTACTACTGCAACACCCATCAATGACTACTAACCCCCTTTGTCATAATGGGTTGCTTTTAATAATTAAGAATTCTACACGTTTTTGTATGTTCATGTGCACAAACCTTTGGGACCTTTCAGATACAAACATGCAAATTCATACTATTTTGGGGTCAGCTGCACCACAGCGACTAAATCAGGGCTCAGCAGTTTTATACTCCAACCATCCAAGTAGCATTAACTGATTCGTTAGTTGTCTAATTGAAAGAAAGAGAGAAGAAACTTCATTTGAGTGACATTATTTCATCAAGAATACAATGCAAATTTGTTGATTTTATAGTCATTGAGTGATAATTGTCCAAATGTGGTTCAAGGCAATCTCCTCCCACATTATTTCTTCAAAATAAGCTGTCTTCATGTTTTTCTTTTTCTGCCCTTGTTTGATTTGACTTGCTCTTCCTGGTTAATTACTTTTTGGTGACATATTTTGAATGCAAGATATATTGTACATGAGTTGTGTACATCTACACTCCTCCCAAAACCAATGCAAGCAGTTGAACATGAGAGGACCTGATAGACCCTCAGGGATTTATACAAAATACATACTTTTTCATCACAAACAACTAAGTGACTGATGAACTGTGAAATGAGCTATAGCTGTGAGATACCTAAAAGCAAGCCTCTCACCTTTTCTGGACACCTCAAAGTTTGTTTATTGTGTCAGTTGGTCCACAGTTGATGTGAGACACATTCCCTGTGCTCAATTTTTACCTGCTTGGATTCAAAGAACAGGTATACCTATATTATGTTCAGCTTTCATCTTAATCCAACTTAAATTGAAGCTATCTCTGCTTGGACTGAAAACCTTAGTCTTTAACTGTATTTTGACAATGAAAATTGTGTCAGCATTAAGACATCACACTTTATAAGGCTAAGCAAAGGGGTCACTCAAGGATGTGTGCTCAGTTCTTTGGTCTTTGCTCTACAGACACTTCACTTTACTCCCAAAATCAGCACAAAGGAGCTAACTGAATTTACTAAAAGTAATGTAATAGTGGCAGGATTTATCAACAACAGTTGAAAAACATCTTACAGAGCTAAGGTGGAATATTTGATGAACTGCTGTGAGGATAACCATCTGTCCCTTAATTGATCCATTATCTTTACCCACTTCTTTCTTGCTGGGTTGCTTCTCCCCTTGTTCAGTGGTTACTGTGCGAGATGTAGGGTACACTCTAGACGGGTCTCCAGTCCATTACAGCGCCACAGAGACAAACGAGACAAACATTCACACACTCACCCACACCTAGGGACAATTTAGAGTTACTAATCAGCCTAACATGCATGTTTTGGGTCTGTGTGAGAAAACTGGAGTACCCAGAGAAAACATTACGTGTGCACAGAGAGAACATGCAAACACCACCCAGAATGGTCCCAGACTGGGACTTGATGCAGCAATGATCTCACTGAGAGGCAACAACTCTATCAACTGTGCCACCGTGCCAGCATCCTTCATTTCAATATAATTGTGTGAAGGCTTAAGCACACTGTTATTTTCCTGTTTCTCTTTATCGTCGTTACTGTCCCTATTCCGTACATTTTTTTTTTCATCGCAATTCTCGTTCCGCAATTATTTTTTTTTTGCTATTTCAATAAATCATATCTCAAAATGTTCAGCTATTTTAGGACAATCCTGCAATACTTTTGGTACTGGTGCAACTGTAGCTTTTTAAAAAATATTTAGCCTTTTCTGCCATTTTTTTTCTCAGAAAATGAATTGAGCTCATTTCACATCCTTCAGATCTTTAGATATGTTTACAACCTTTTACTGCTCCTTTCACATTTTGTTCTGGTTCTGCCTCTTTCAGCTTCCTTGTGCAAAACATTTTTTCAGCCACTTTCAGCAAATGTAAGCTATTTTTTCAGCTGTTTTGTGCTCCTTTCAGTTTTTTTGCTAACGACAACAGTTTTTGCTTCTTCTAAGCTACTTCTGCTAATTTTAGCTTGTTATGCTCCTTCCAGCTTATTTATGCCAGGTTTAGCTTTTTCTGCTTTTTAAGCTACCATTTAACTGTTTTCTGCTAGTTTTGGCATTTTCAGCTAATTCCACATTTCTTGTGCTCATTTCAGCTTTTTTCAGCCTAATTCATCATGAGCTCTTTCCACTTCCTTCTGGTAATTCAAGCTTCTTTCTGCTTTTTAATCAACTTTTTAGCAATTTATTTGCTAATTTCAGCTTTTTTCTGCTAACTAACCCTTTTTGTGCTCTTTTTTTTTTTACCTATTTCAACCTAATTCAGCAAACGTGTTCTCTCTACTTTCTTTTGCTAATTTAGGCTTGTTCTCCATTTTCAGCTACATTTCATCGTTTTTTTTAGCTAATTTAAGCTGTTTTCAAATTATTTCATGCTTTAGTCATTTCTGCTACTTTCAGAGTAATTCAGCAAACCTGTGTACTTTTCACTTCCTTCTGCAAGTTTTTTAATTTTTTTTTTTTGCTTTTCAGCTTTATTTCAGCATGTCTTTTTTAAGCTATTTTCAGCTGTTTTCAGATAATTTCATATTTTTGTTGTAATTTCTTTTTTCAAGCTAAGTGAGCAAATGTGTGCTCTTCTACTTTAGTCATTTTTATGTTTTTGATCATTTTTTGGTACTTTTGTTTTTGTTCATGCTCCTTTTAGATTTTATTATTATTATTATTATTATTATTGCTGCTATTTACTGCTTTCTCTGATCATTTTGGAATATTTTCAGCAATCTTCATCTTTTTTTTGCATTTTGTAGTTTTATTTTATTTTTGTTTTGTTTTACTTTCTCTTTCCAATTTTCAGCTTTTGGTGTTTTTAAAGTAAGTTTCAGCTTTTTAAGCAATTTTCAGCAAGTTCTTCTACAATAAGCCTTCACACTGCATTTATGCAGGAAATGCAATTTCTCTAGTTAAATATAGCATAGCTGACTAGCTGGACTTTGGAAAAAAAGGCTTAGCACACCCCACCCCATGCTTTGAACAGCAGTGGCTCCCCTTGGAAAAGGGTCAACATTACTCAGTCTGCTGTCCATTACTAGAGATTACTCTTAGCCTTATAACGCCCACTCATCTGGCCAAAAAGTCTATTTAGAGAGTGTACCTCCTTCATACAAGACCATTTTGGAGAAGAGATGCATGAAGAAAGCCATTAGCATTATGGGGGACCCCTCTTACTCCATTAAGAAGTGGTTCAAATGTCTGCCATTTTCAAAAAGATTTAGCTTCACTATATCAATAAGTCAAAATGTGCAACAGCTTCTTAATAAAGCTGATTCCTGCTAAATGACCATTTAGTTTCTTCTTTATTGTGTTTATTTCAGCACAGTTGTTAGAGCTAGGCCTGTCGCAATAAACAATAAATCATTTAATGTCATGATGAATGAAAATTATCATCATCATTTTCATTTATTGGCTTTAACATTTCTTTGTGTCTCTCTTTCTACTGAAGACACTGGATGACAAAAGGCTCAACTCTGGTGCTCCACTGACCCCTCCCTTTCTCCTTTCTCCTTAAAATCCGTTTTAACTGTCCAAAATCACGTTTTTGGATCATTAAAAGCAGCTAAGCTGAGAAGCTTAAGTTACGAGCTAAGCTAACAGGCTGACCTCGGGAATAAACCTCCATCTTGTCGAGCTCCAAAATTCATGGTCGAAACCTGTGCCTTCATGTAAAGTTGTTTTTCTCTGCAAAAAGAAGCTGAGAACTTGTTTACTGATTTTTTTTTTTTTAATTAAAAGCTTTGTGTGAAAAATGCTATGCTAAAGAGCTCAAATCACAGAGCATGTGCCATGTCACGTCAAGGGCCCTCTCTTCCATTTTTCTTAAAGAGACATGCTGCTCAACTATCCATCCTTTGATTCAAACTGTCGTATACTGCCATCAGATGGTCAAAAAAGGTACTACAGCCAAACAAATCAACTTTTCTTCTAAAATTTGACAATTATTTATTGTTGAATTTCAAACAATATTATCGTTTATCGCAATAATTTCTGAGACAATTAATCGCCCAGCAAAATTTTTTATCGTGACAGACCTAGTTAGAGCTGTCGCCTCACAGAGAGCAGGTCGCAGGTGTGCCTCCTGTCCTTTCCGTGTAGCGTTTGTATGTTTCCTCGTGCATGTGTGGGTTTTCTCCAGGCACTCCAGCTTCCTCCCACAGAAAAATGGGAAATAAAACCGGTATATGAATGTGTTTATTTTATTGCTAGCAAGCTGGCATTTAAAACAAGAGCCCTGCTTCATTAATTTTAAGTAGAAGATGGTATGAAAATATTTAACATAAAAAATTTCATTGTACTTTTATAAATCACCCTGTTGGAAAAAGTTCTTAAAATTGTGAAAGACTAAACCCCTGGATGTAATCTTTACAAAATGTGGGAAAATAATTCCAGCATGTATTGGTTTTCTTTCCCTCTTTCCGCTCTCGTCTTTTTATCTTTTGTTTCTCTTTATAATTTGTTTATAGGCCAGCGAGCTTCCCCTGGAGGAGCTGCTGGCTTTGTATGGCTATACAATGTCAGATCCAGAGAAGGAAACATGTGTGATAGCCACCAGCTTACCAGACATGAAACAGGTAATACTCAGCCAAAATCATACCAACACGTACCAGTCACTTTGTTCACATTTCAAATTCTGTTCAGAATCACACTATCAAAGCTTTAAAAATGACTAAATAGAGATGATCATTTTACAGCAATATTTGCTTTGTTCTGTTGAGTTTGTTTATGTTTCTTTTCTTTCCTCTTTTTTGATGTACAGGATCAGATAACTAAAGATCTGTTTCATGGGAGGAGAGAAAAAGAAGTGTCAGCCTGTGATTTCACCTCCTCAAACACCTCAGATCTACTTTGCTGCCTTCAGGGTAAAACAATGAAAAATACACATAAAATAACATAAAAAATAACACTTTTCACAACAACAACAACAACAAAGTGTTGAAAATGTATGTTTGGTTTTGTATTTTTTGTTTAAATGTAAAAATTGGGTCATTTTCTTATGAAACTGTGAATTGTTGTGAAAAGGCTCTTTCATAAAGCAGTTCTGTGGGGCCAGCACGTCCAGTATAAATAGTTTTTCAGAAATGAAGTGTTCATCGCAGAACCAAAAGAAGTGTGGAGCAGAACTCAGCTGTGCTGACATGGAGTGCACTGCATTAAATGTGTGATGGACTTCTTCCTCGCATTGGTTTCAAAACGTGACAATTTACCATACCATTTTATTTATAGAGCACTTAAAACAGTGACAAGGCCGACCAAAGTGCTGTACAGACAGAAAACAGGCAACGCACAAAACAAATGTAATCAAATCAGAATATAGACAAAATCATCGCAGATAATAAATATAACGACTAGCCTGTGTGAAGCGTACAGGTTCAAACAGATCTAGTGTTTAATTTTACTCAGTTTAATGATTCTCTTTGTTGTGAACAAACTTTAAAAAATAAATGCAAAGTTCCTGTGCATTATCAGTCTTTCCTTGATAGTAAATCCATTTTTTGTTGTATAATTTTACAACCAAGTGGTCACAAAGACTATACGTCATAACTGTTCACATTCCAGTTTATCTTTTCACATGTCGACTGTTTCGACTCTTATTACATTGTTTCATGGCACAAAGGCGCATCAGGGATAGGTTTGCTTCGATCTGACCCTCACTGCTACAAAAATCACACTGAGACAGCCAAAACACAAATTCCCTGCTTGAGGTGTTTTGCAAAAGTGCCTAAAACTAAAAATAACACTAAACGGACTATTTTCCCCAAACATGCTCTTGTTGGTTAGATTTTAATAAGACATTTAGGGTCATAGCTAAATACACAGTGAGATATGTTAAATAAATAAATAAATAAACATTACTTGCCAAGTTTAATTTATAAATTTATTTGCTAAGTTTTTTTTGGTTGGTTGGTTTGTATTTGGTGAAATTTAAAATGTTTTTGCTTGAATGTGAATGTAGTGGCAATATGTTTTACTTTTCGTATAAAGACATTAGGTCAAAGTCACTCATTTGTAGGCAGAAACTTGGGGTTTTAAGACAGCTATAATATTTTAGACAAAGAAGAAGAGGAAGATGAAAGAAGAAGAAAACTGAGGGAGATTGGAGTCTGTAAGACTGTAGCTGGAGAGAGCGTGGCCACACAGCATCAGATGGTTGTGTGTAAAATGACTAGTTGTGAAGAAGGAAAAAAGAGTCAAATCAGAAAAGAAGACCAAATGGTGGAAGCTGAGGAAGGAAGAATGTTGTGAGGAGTTCAGAGAGGAGCTGTTAAAGGCTTTTGTGTGTGTGTGTGTGTGGGGGGGGGGGGGGGGGGGGGGAGGTAGAAAGAGCTTCCAGATGACTGGGCTACTACAGCAACAGTAATTAAAGACACAGGTAGGAAGGTACTTGGTGTGTCATCTGGACAAAGAATGGAGGATAAGAAGGTGGAATGGTGAAGTGCAGGAAACTATTCAAAGAAAGTGGTTTAGCCAAGAAGAAATATGACGGTGAGAAGACTGAAGAGAGGAGACAAGAATAAATGAGGGAGGTAGCTAAGGCAAAGCAGAATGTGTTTGAAAAGTTGTATGGGAGGCTGGACACTAAAGAGTGCAAGAAGGCCTTGTACTGATTGGCAGACAGAGGGATCAGGTTGGAAAGCATGTGCAGCAGGTTAGACTTGTTATAGATAGGAATGGTAATGTTCTAACAAGTGAGGACAGCGTGATGGGAAGATGGAAGGAGTACTTTGATGTGCTAATGAATGAAGAGAATGAAAGAGAAAAAAAGAGTAGAAGTCACTGAAACTGTGGACCAGGAAGTGGGAAAGATTAGTGAGAGTGAAATTCAGAAAGCTCTGAAAAGAATGAACAAGGGGAAGGCAGTAGGACCTGCTGACATACCAGTGGAGGTTTAAAAATGTCCTGGAGAGATGGCGGTGAGGTTTTTCACTCAAATACTCAATGGCATATTTCTGGATGAGAAAATTATTGAGGAATGGAGACGTGTGCTGAGGTCCATTGTTAAGAACAAGGGTGATGTACAGAGTTGTAGCAACTACAGGGGAATTAAATTAATGAGTCATGTGATGGAGATCTGGGAGAGAGTTGTGGAATCAAGTCTTAGACAAAAGGTGAGCAGCAGTATGGTTTCATGCCAAGAAAGAGCACCACAGATGCCATCTTTGCTTTGATGATGCTGATGCAGAAGTACAGAGAAGGTCAGAAAGAACTCCATTGTGTCTTTGTGGATTTAGAAAAAGCATCTGACAGGGTGTAGAGAGAGGAGGTGTGGTATTGCATGAGTTAATCTGGAGTGGCAGAGAAGTATATTAGACTGGTACAGGACATGTACGAGGACAGCAGGACAGTGGTGAGATGTGCTGTAGGAGTGACAGATAGCTTCAAGGTGGAGGTAGGAGTGCACCAAGGATTGGCTCTTAGCCCCTTCTTGTTTGCTCTGGTGATGAACCAACTAACCAGTGAGGTCAGGCAGGGATCCCCATGGACTATGGTGAGAACAAGGAACAGGTGGAAGAGAAGGTGGAGAGGAGGAGGTATGCACTTGAAAGAAGAGGAATGAAAGTCAGCCGTAGTAAGACAGAGTGCATGTGTGTGAATGAGAGGAAGGTCAGTGCACCACAGATGCCATATTTGCTTTGAGGATGCTGATGGAGAAGTACAGAGAGGGTCAGAAAGAACTCCATTGTGTCTTTGTGGATACAAGGAGCAGAGGTCACAAAGGTGCAGGACTTCAAGTACTTGGGGTCTACTGTCCAGGGAAATGGAGAGTGTGGTAAAGAGGTGGGGGAAAAAAAGCATCCAGGCAGGATGGATACATTTTTCAGGAGTGATTTGAGACAAAAGTTTGTCAGCAAATGTCAAAGGAAAAGATTACCAGACAGTGGTGAGACCAGGTATGTTGAGTGGTCTGGAGACAGTGGAATTTACAAAAAGACAGGAGAAAGAACTGGAAGTGGCAGAAATGAAGATGTTGAGGTTCTCCTTAGGAGTGACAAGGATGGATGAGTTTAAGAATGAGATCATCAGAGGTACAGCACGGGTTGAACATCTGGGAGATAAAGTTAGAGAGACCAGACTGAGATGGTTTGGACATGTCCAGAGGAGGGACAGTGGGTATACTGGTAGAAGGATGTTAGAAATGCAGCTGCCAGGAACAAGACACGGAGGAAATATATGGATGCAGTTAGAGGAGGTTAGAACATGGAGGTAGTTGGAGAGATGATGCAGAGGACAGAGTGAGATGGAGGAGGATGACTCACTGTGGAAACTCCTGAAGAGGGAAATGCCTGCTAGAAATCATTCCAGATATTTCCAGAAATGTCTGTGGTGAAGCTTGAGGTTTTCAACCATCGCCGTATGGTTAATCAAATTGTACAGCTTGCAAAATTAGCCATGTTGTTGTTGAAATCATTTTGCCAAATTAATGTAAATGTGTGATGTTAAACTTTGATTCTGTAAATAAATGACGCATTCATTTGATGGGTCAAAGAAAATTAACGTCTCACGATACATTTTATTAAATTCAATGCACGACATTATACAGTCCAGAAAAATGAAAGAATCCATTTAATTTATGAATATATCATGCATATGTTCATCTACATACTGGTGAATACGCTGAAAGTAGAATATTTTTGACAAAATCTTGTTCATTTGTGTTTTTAGTTTATAATGACGTTATTCTCTTTTTGGTCTTTTGTCTTTTTCAGATGGAGACAAATCCTTGTCTGTCAGCTCATCAGATGAGGACCCAGATGGTGCCTCCATTCCCTCCAATGAAGAGCACAAGGTAGGCCACTGAGCATATCAAATACTGACTGGGTTGATTTGTAGCCACCTTAAGTTACAATGACTTAAAAAAAAAAAGATTTTTAAATTGGATTTTTACAAACTGAGCATATCCATGTGCTTTGACAGTTGTTAACATTTTACTATTTACTCCAGAACACTGATATTTCTCTTTGCTGCAAAGTCAATTTTGGCTCTGTTTTGTTTTTTTAAATACCATAAAGGTGTAATATTTCAGTCAGGCAGTATACTTGACCAAGTCATAGTTTTCACTTTATTACTTTCTGTTTAAAGCCCTTGTGTGCTGTAAAGAAACGTACATCATTATTTGGCTGAAGTATTGACAAATTTGGAGTCCCTATATTAGCAGGTTTTTATCGCAGCCACACTTTAACCATACTGCCTTTTGAACCTATTCAGTCCCATATTATTACACTCCCACCGCCGTTCCTCTCTTCAGATTATGTATTTGCTGATTGTTCTTGGATTTGAGCCAAATATTAAAGCTATAAAGAAGTTTTATGTATCCACTAGACTTAATTTTTGCAGTTTTGTGTAAACTCTGGAGGTGGGAGTTTAATTAAATGTAATTGAAAACATTTCAGCTGCTCCTTTTCTCAGGGGTCACCACCTGAGAAAATAAATAACAATGACAACAAAATTACTTCCTGTAGCATTGACATTAACAATTGGTGTTCCGTGTAAATGAAGTATAGATTATACTCAAGTTCAGTCCTAACTGAAAGACCCATCTGAATCCCCTCTTTTAAAACAGCTATAGATACAGCAGCTCTAAAATTCATCAGGAGTTTGTCTGGTCAATACTTAGCAAAGCTTTATTTATAGAAGAATCTTTCCAATTTCAAAACTAATGTGAATCAGTGACTTAATGCTATTTTTAAAATAATATCCCAATGTTTCATGTGTGTAGAGAGCAGGACCGATTTGAAAACAATTAAATATTATGTGATTCCTTGACTTTGTTTTCTTTTTCCAGGAGATAATGGTTGGGTCCATGTATCAAGCAAAAATACCTCCTATAAGCCCTTATACCTGCCAGGAGAGAGGTAAGCAACTTTTGATGATGATGATGAGAAAATTCAACTTTTTATCAATTTAATGGTGATTGAAATAATTTGCTCACTGAATATTTTAAGCATCAGACCTGTGTAAAATCTAAAACTTCTTAATTTTTGTGGTAATATAATTGATTAATACTAAAAATGGCAGCCCCCTCTACCATTAACATGCATGTGAATCTTTTCCTCCAGCCTTCAGCGGTGAAGACCAGCTGCTGTGGAAGCCCGAGATTCTCCCAGTGCAGGAAGTAGAAGAGTTTTTACTGAATGCACAGAGGGGTCATGGCCAGCAGGGGGCAGTATGCAACCAAAGTGCCACTATTCAAGACAATGAGCAGGTACAGCAGAAGGGTGTACTGTAAAATACAATCCCTCTTTTCAAGGTTTTCTGTTCATTGTGTTTTTATTTATGTTTTACAGGCGTTATATGAATTAGTAAAATGCAACTTCAATGCAGAAGAAGCACTGAGGCGATTGCGGTTCAACGTGAAAGTGTTCAGCGGTAAACAAACATTTCCTGTTATCCCATTTTCACAATCATGTTTATTTATAACATTTTAAAATGATAATTGTGCAGATTTCTAATATTATACATAACTTGTTGAGATGCTAGGAAATTTGTGAAGCTGTTTTCTGTTTCAGATAAATTGACTCGATCAAGGAGACTTCAGAATTGAAAAATTAAACTGGCAATTGTCTTTGTATCTCATTAAATATAAGATGTAAAGAAAAACAGGCTTTTTCCTTGTTAGGTAAATGGACTGTACTTATATAGTGTCTTTCTATCTTATCAAAATACTCAAAGCGCTTTACACTACAATCTGTGTCCTCATTTACCCATTCATACAGCACTCTACTAGATCTCTACAAAGCTAATGGAACAAATCATTCAAAAGAGACTAATCAGAGCTTTATCACATTCATACACCGATGGGACACACATCGGAGGCAATGAGGGGTTCAGTGTCTTGCCCAGGGACACTTCGACATGTGACTGCTGGTGGATTCGAACCTCCAACTCTTGCACTGGAGTACGACTGCTCTAACCACTCAGCCACAGCCGCCCTTTATGGTTAGGCACCATAAAGGTGTGAGCTGTCAGTCTACACATGTTGGAACAAATAATAACTTTATCCAACAGTTTAAAAAAAGTCCTAGTGTCAAAATTTAAGACTGTATTTAATCTAGATGATATACATATACCTGAAAGAATACATATATTATCGCCCACAGCCAAAAGGCAAATTTATTTCATTTATCTAGCGTTAGTAGCTGAGAGTCATTCACAACCCTGATCTTGCAGTTCCACGTTACAATGTGCGCGTCATTTTCAAGGTCTGACCAAAACTGCTACACCTCCATCATTTCTTCTCATAATTAAATTGACTTTTAAATCAACTGAAGAAGGGTGACACAGCACACAGACATTTACATCTTGTTTTTTTATTGTACTTTGGTTGTAGTTCATTTAATTTGAACTACAGTAATATATTGCAAATTGCACAATGATGGTACTCTCTGTCTTTAGAGGAGCTGTGTTCTTGGAGTGAGGAGGAGTGTAGAAACTTTGAGCGCGGCTATCGTGTTTATGGGAAAGACTTCCATCTCATTCAGGCTAATAAGGTGAGTACTCTGTACAAAATGTTAAATAAATATGCATATACATAATTTACCTTTTTGTTACACTGAGCAAAAATAAGCCTATTGTTCTCATTAGGTACGAACACGCTCTGTGGGCGAGTGTGTGGAGTATTACTACATGTGGAAGAAGTCTGAACGGCAAATCTACTTTAACCAACAGGCTACTAGGATAAGCCGAAAGAAGTACAGCCAGCAGTCAGGGAATGGGTGAGTCCTGCTGGGAGATCAAAAGAAAGATGTTTAATGTTATATGAGCTAATGTACTTATTACTATTTATTAGGGATGCACAATATTATCGGCATGGTATCTGTATTGGTCAATATTTGCGATAAAGTTAAATATTGGACATCGGCCATTCCATCAAAATAACTCACCGATATAAAAGACGCT